TTCTAGTTTCTAGCTTCTCTAGGCGGGAGAGTGGCCAGGCCCCACCCTACAGAAAAATAAAAAAGAAAAGGCCACAAACTCCCTCCAATCCCAGGCTGTCCTGCAAAGCACCCCCAACCTCAAACCTTTTACAAAGCCTGCCTCCTGCTCAGTTCCCTGATGCTTGTCTCCGGAACAGAGGCAGCCGCTCGCTCGTGTCTTTCCCAATAAATCTCTTGTGTGAGGTTTATTGTGTGGTGAGACTTTGCGGTCTTCCTTGGCTCCCGATTGCCAGGATGCCTTTCCCCCCTGAGCTGAAACAGTCCCACCGGGGAAGCCTTTCCCCTCAGAGCTGTAATACACTGGTCAAATACCACTCTTGAGGTATACCCTTAGCTCATTGTTTAAAGAAAAGCATTTATTTATTTATTTATTTAGTGTGGGGGGAATGGGTATTGGGGAGTCCCATCTCCCCTTTTACCATGTCTATTTTGGAGACTGAACAAAGTCCTCACGGCTTATGTGGCAGCATCATTCGCTGCTGAACCATCTCCATCTCCTCAGCCCCCATTTTAGTTTCATGCTAACGAGTTTTGGAAGGAATGGTTTTTATGTGCTGTCTTGCATTTGTGCTTCCTTTGGTTGGCCGCATAGTGGACCAGAAGGCCTCTCTTCTCGCTGGAAGCATCCTCCCTTGCTCCCTGAGCGCTAATCACACGGCTGCCACTCTGTCCTTAGCTAACCCTGTGCTAAGGTGCTTTGCACACTCAGCTCTGTCGTGTGGACTTTTCTTTCCACTCAGTCTCTGCCTGGCAGTAAGACGTAAAGACGAGGGAGACTGTTGGGACACTGCCCAAGGGGCAAGTTTATCTCCACCAACCTTTCTACCCTGTGTTTGCTCTTCTATAGAGCAGAGGTGAGGTGGTCTGGGAGCCTGAGGCGGGAAGATCCCAACTTTGAAGCCTGCCTGGAGTCCAGGGACAGCCTGCCCAACTTAGTAACACTTGTCTCAAAATAAGATAAAGAAATGAATGAATGGAGATGGAATTAGTGGTTATTCCCTTGTCTAACTGAAAGCCTTCCGTTCAATGTCCATTATCACAACTAATTAAAATAAAACAATCTAAAAGCCAGGCATGGTTGTGCATTTGCATATCTGAGGGTTGCTTAGGCTACACAGGGAGTGCCAAACCAAAAGGGGCTATGTAGCAGGAAACAAAAATAAATACATAAGATTTTAAAGTGAGGGCTCTCAAGCTCGGCGTCTGGAAGGTGGCTTCCACGAGGGGTCAACATGAGGATCGAGAAATGTTATTTCTGTTCCGGGCCGATCTACCTTGGCCACAGTATGATGTTCGTCCAAGGTGTTCCGATTCTGAAAATCCAAGTGTCATAAAAACTTCAAGAAGAAGCGGAACCCACGCAAGGTCAGGTGGACTAAAGCCTTCCGGAAAGCAGCTGGCAAAGAGCTCACGGTGGACAACTCATTTGAATTTGAAAAACGTAGAAATGAACCTGTGAAATACCAGCGAGAGCTATGGAATAAAACCACTGATGCAATGAAGAGAGTTGAAGAGATCAAGCAGAAACGCCAGGCTAAGTTTATAATGAACAGGTTGAAGAAAAACAAAGAGCTGCAGAAGGCTCAGGATGTCAGAGAGGTCAAGCAGAACATCCATCTCATCCGGGCTCCTCTTGCAGGCAAAGGAAAGCAGCTGGAGGAGAAAATGGTACAGCAATTACAGGAGGATGTGGACATGGAGGATGCTTCCTAATGGTGCCGCCTGCAGCCAGCCCCATGCGCACTGGAAACCAGTGGAGACTGTGGGTTCCTAAGTTATTGATTGGTTACATAAAGTCCCTCACACAAAGGTCGTTCCCGTCCTTCCCTCTTAAGCTGCAGCTTGGAAAAGCATCCCTTTGTGGATGTGAGGTCTCAGCTCGGCATTCTGCTTCACTGTGCTGTGCTCACACAAACACAAAAGTTTGTGTGTGGATTAAGGTGTGAACTGTGGGCATGACAGGGTTGAGTGGTTCATAATGACACCAGGCAACATTTCTGTACTGATTATCTCGATAGCGTGGAATTTGTAATGATGTAATATTTTCCTTGCACTAGGATAGTCTGTTGGTTTGGGTTATTGGAGTGGAGATCACACAAGGAACTATTCTCTTGACAACCCCAGTCTCTTTTGTTTTGGTCTAGTCTGTGTAGTAGGTTCGTAGAATTGCATAATGGCTGCATGTATGCAGGTGCATTATGTTGGGCCGCGTGACCTGCTTCAGCCATTCTAGTCGGCAGCTGTGGTGTTGGGGGTGGGAGGCGTGAAGAAACTTTGCCTGAATGGCACCTTATTTTTGCTTTGGAGAATGTTCCGCACAAGTCTTGACTTCTGTCCCAGCAGACCCCTCTCTCCCTCCAGCCCAGCAGTGGTCTAGAAGCAGAAGAATCCTGTTGCCTTTCAGAATGTATTGTGTGGTTTTCTTTGTTTGTTTGTTTGAGACAGGGTCTCTCTGTAACTGACTGTTTTGAAATTCACTATGTAGACTAGGCGGCCTTGAACTCCCAGAGATCCACCTGCCTCTGCCTCTGCCTCCTGAGTGCTGGGATTAAAGGAAGTGTATCATCACAACCCCCAGCATTTTTAATTTTCTTTAAAAATTCAACCAAACAAAAAGAAACTCTTGTTTTCGGGAAAATAGAATTTATGGGTAGAATGCTGCCTCTTATTTGTATGTAAATAAAACCCTTTCTAAAGTAAAAAAAAAAAAAAAATGATTTTAAAGTGAGGATGATGGTAGTGGCCGCAGGGCGCTAACTGTAGCCGTTAGAGCGTCCGGGGCTGAGGGTGTACTAGTGACTCTTCTCATTGTTGCGGCGAAATCCCACCGTAGACCACCCGAAGGAAGAGAGGTTTCTTCCGGCTCCTGGTTTCAGACAGAAGAGTCTGCCACAGTGGGAAGGCGGCAGGGGCCCGAGTTGTTAGCTTCTCACACGGTGTGGGCCAGAAAGCAGAGTTGCTAGCCCAACAAGAGGTAGGCATTGAGGGACCACCCGGGAATGAGAAAAACAACTGTGATTACTTGAACTGAAGCCAGGTGCAGAGAGCTCTTGAAGGGCAGGGTGAACTGTTCTGAGAAACAACCAGCTGTAAACTATCTACAACCAGCTGTAAACTATAGAGCAAAAGTGGTCTGATTTTCAGGTATAAACACCCTGTGCTTTGCATGTTTGGGGTCGTCTCCTGTCTTTGGAGGGGTGACCTCATCGCGATTGGAATAAAACCTCTTGCTTTTGCATCCAGTTGTGGTCTGTGAGTGTTCCTGGGAAGGGCGCGATCCTGAGCTCCTGAGCAGTGAGACTCCAGGTCTTACAGCACAACCTTCTAACCCGGGCCCTTGGTGAGCTACGCCACTGGCTAAGTCCCTACTGTTTAAGGATCCCAGGATTTCCCAGAACATAACCAATACCTGAGGAGCAATCCACAACAGCAGAACCTGTGGGGGACATTTGTTGTTCAAACCAAAATGGGCGATGTAGGGCTTCCATGACCTTGGGGTACAACCTTTGTGAGCAAGCCTTTGTGCTCGTACCCAAACACCTGCTGTTGGACAGTTACCCTCGTCCAAGTCACCTTTATTTTCTATCCCCTATATTCTTATTACTATGATAGCAGTTACCGTGTTTATAAGTATGCATTTGTAATAATCTTCATTCGCTTAGAAGTTTGTTTTATTATGGTAGTATTTGTGTTGGTCTCTGTCTGGGCGCAGCAACAGCTGAAGCTAATTGAAAAGGATCTCGGGGAGGCAGAGGCAACTCACAGACACCTGTGAGTGTGAGGTGAGCTTGGTCTACAGAGTGAGGCCCAGGGCTCCATGCTGAGACTTGGCCTCAGTGGAATGGAGAACACAGAGCATGTGTTTATCCTGGCATCCTAGCTGTTGAGCTAGTGCAAGCACACAGTAGCTGCTTGACAGATATCATGAGATGAACAAAGTAATAGTGTGAAAATGTGATGACAGACTAATCAAGTAACAGTGGATAGGTAATATATAAAAACAAACATATGCATAAAAAAGAAATATCAAATATGGATAGTAATTGCTTGGATTACAGGTTTTACTATGACATTTTAATGCATTTACCTGTGTTTTCTTTTTTTTGGGGGGTAGAGAGGGAGCTGAGACAAGGTCTTACATAGATTGTGTAGGCCTCTTATTCAAAAGACGGGCGAGAATGACCTTGAACCCCTGATCCCCTACTTCTACACCACAAGTGCTGTAAATCTGTGGTTAGAAATTAGAACCACCACAGCTTTCTTAATGAGGAAGTTCATTTGGGGGCTTTATATAATAATAATAATAATAATAATAATAATAATAATAATAATAATAATAATAATAAAACACGTAAAACAAAATGAAGCTGGAGGGAGGGATGGCTCAGTGGTTGAGAGCACGTGCTGCCTTCGTAGAGGATGTTCTGTTTGCTCCACCCACACTGGGTGGCTGTACTTCTAGTATCAGTAAATAGTGTTTCTGTGCTTGTTCACATTTCTTTTGCACAGGCAATGGGCTTTCTGTTTTGATTATATTCTGAATGAAAGTGTACTCAAGAGTTCAAAGACGTTTTTTAAGCTCATAGAATTTGACTAAGAGCATATTTTCATCTATGTGTATGTGTGCTGGGAAATGTGTGGGCATTCCGGTATGGCAAGCTTCCGGCAGTGCGGTTACAAGCTAAGTGCCTAGAGCGCGACATCAGCTGCTCTGAGAAGCAGGCACCCACCATCCCTTCTTTTGGCGTTCCGGAGACCTGTGAGGGTGGACGCTGGAGACAACAGCCAAATCACCCTTGGGCCGGAACCACAGCGACACCTGCCTCCCGTCTGAGCGGCGTCCTTCCTCCATGGGCTGCGGGGACCTGCCGGGGGCGTGGCCGCCTGCCGGGGGCGTGGCCTCCAGCCGGGGCGTGGGCGCCCGCGGGGGCGTGGCCTCGGGGTCGGAGGGCGCGCAAAGCGGGTGTCATGGCCACCTCCATGCTGGGTCCTGTCCGCGGCCCGGGGCCGTTGGGTTTGGCCGGCCTGTTCCATCACCGGCCGCCTCGGGAGGCGTGGGAACGTGTGCGGCGGCTCCCGGGACCCTCGGCAGTCCGGCGCAGCGTGGCGGCAGCCAGCGGGCCCGGCGTCCCGGGTTCCGACCACTACTGCCTGGAGCTGCTTAGGTGAGCCGCAGCTGCCCGGGGACGTCCCCGGGAGCCCGGAGCCTGTGGGACTGGGAGTGCTGAGTCCCGACTCTGCGGTGGCATCCTTCCGCCTCTGCGTCCTGCTGGGCTCGGAGAGGGGGCAGCAGGCCCGTTCACGTGGCCGCGAAACCCTCGCAGGGTTTCTTCCTCTGCTCCGCACGTTCAGCCTGCCTGACCCCAACTTTAAGGAGCCCTGCAACCTTTGCATGCATAGCCCCTTTTATTCATGGACAGCTAGTGGGTTTAACACCGTTAAGTGACTTTGGGTTCCGTGTGTCGGCACTGTTAAGAGTAGGCCACGGAGGCTGCGGATTCAGCTCTGTTGGTGGAGTGCTTGCCTAGCGTGCGCGAGGGTTAGACCAACACCACCTCGCAAAACCGTGCACACGCGCCCCTGACCCTTCTCCTTAGGAGTTAGAGGCCGGAGGTTCAAGGTTTGGCCACAAACCAGCCTCATGAAACTGTACTAAGATTTTGTTTACCAAACTCTGAAGCAACTTACTTGACGCTCCTTAAAAGTTGTGACTCCTATCAAGGGTTGTAAGAATTAGAGCATTTAGGAGCTGGAGAGATAGATAGGTCAGCAGTTAAGAAAGAGCACAGGCTAATCTGGAGGATCCCGGTTCGATTCCCAGCGCCCACACGAGAGCCACCTCTCTTTTCTGGCCTTCTAGGTAGGCACGTGGTGCATAGACATATGTGTAGGCAAAACACTCATACACATAAAAATAAATGTACTTTTAAAAATAAAGCTTAATTAGAGCATTTAGATCAATGCCTGCCACATAGTTAGATTATTATTTAATAGATGCTCAAACTTTGTGTCATGGAAAGAAAACAAGGAATTTATCTAAAATTTACTAGAACAGTCTCATGACTTGTGTTCTGTTCACCTGGTATCAGGAAAAAACTTCTGGGAGCTCCTCCATAGACATATGTGGAGGACTAGGGCTGGGTTGGGCCTACCTTGGAATTGGGCCCTATGAATATCTGTGGCTTAATAAAATGCACCCTCTCCACCCCTGCATTTTGCCCTTCTGTGCTAACAGTAGTATCAGGATGGGTTTTGTTTGTTTGTTTGTTTGTTTGTTTTGAGACAGGGTTTTTATGTAGGTGGCTTATGTAGACCAGGCTGGCCTAGAACTCAGAGCTCTTCTGGCTTCTACTTCTCAAGTGCCAGGACTAAAGGTCTGTGTCACTATTTTGTTTTTTGTTTTGTGTTTTTCCTGTTTGTTTTTGTTTTTGTTTTTAAATGTGTTTGTTTTTGTTTATGTGTATGAGCCTTTTGCCTATATGTGTGTATTTGTGTGTGTGTGTGTGTGTGTACACTGTGTACATACTTGGTGCCACAGATCAAACTTCCTGGAACAGTTGTGAGGATGTTGGGAATCAAACCAGGGCCCTGTGGAAGAGCAGCTAGTGCTCCTAACTGCTGAGCCATCTCTCCAGCCCCAGCATCTGGTTTTAAAATACCTGCTTTCAAGGGCTTCTAAGGGTTACTGAAATGACTAAATCACCTTGGGTTTGGTTAGGGAAGTAAACCTGAAAAATGCATTGGCTTCCGTGTTTGGCAGGTGTTTTGAATTCTCTCCCACACCAACTACTGAGCTTACAGGCGTGGGTTGCCACCTGCCATGTACCACTTGCTGTTTTCTTCAAGGCACTGGCGACTAAACTGGGCCTGGTGAAGCTGGGCAAGCGCTGTACCACCGAGCCACACAGTAGCCGGTCTAGTTGACAGCTTCTTGCTGGATTTTCCGAAGCTGGCCTTGAAATCGAGGACTGCAGTCTCTTGCTGCAGCTCCTGAGTAGACACTGTACTTATATCATTCCTGGATATTCAGATTCCCACAGACTCCGGTCAGGCTTGTTTCAACGGTTCTTTTGATGAAGGAATCTTATCCATTCTTTGAATCTTTGCTTTATGTTCAAGGTGGCTTTGGCTTGTTTTATATTTCCCCTACCCCAGCTTGGGACATCATTTTTTTCAAGAATGGCTGGAGGTCTTTCTTGCTTTTTTGTTTGTTTGTTTTCTTTTTGTTTTTTTCAAGACAGGGTTTCTCTGTGTAGCCTTGGCTGTCCTGGACTTGCTTTGTAGACCAAGCTAGCCTTGAACTCACAGAGATCCACCTGCTTCTGCCTTCCCAAGTGCTAGGATTACAGGCATCCGGTTCTGAAGGTCTTTCTTAGAAACCAATGTCTGTAATCAGGTAGTTGGTATTCGCCCATGCTGGGGGTTTGGAGATTTTTAGTGCTTCTAGGCTCTTTTAGCAGATGCAGAAATATGTACCCACATTGGTCTGTATATCTTATTTCTGTGTCTTCCTATGTATATGTAATAAAAACTTGCTCCAACTATTTTCTTTATACCTGCCCCCACTGCCGTTATTTGTTGTTGTTTTGTATTTGTTGTAGCCTAGGCGAGCCTCAAACTCCTGATACTCCTACCTCAGTCCTCTGAAATGCTGGGATTACAGCATGTATTAACATACCCAGTGTCTTAGAGTTCTTTCTTTTCTTTTTTGAGAATAAGAAGAAAAAACTTTATTATTGGGTTGGCAGTCAGTGTCCTGATTAGCGTTGTATGCGCATTCTGATGGCCATGAATGTGCCAAACTCCACATCATGGTTTTCTCACACGAAAAGCTAGGCAGAGGGTGCTTGAGGCCCTAACCCTTAGGTAGGGTTTTATTGCTGTGAAGAGACGCCCTGACCAAGACAAAATCTTTTTAAAGATTTATTTATTTATTATTTATACAGTATTCTGCCTGCATGTGTGGCTACACACCAGAAGAGGGCACTAGATATCATTATAGATGATTGTGAGCTGCCATGTGGTTGCTGGGAATTGAACTCGGGGCCAGTACTCTTGATCTCTAAGCCAGCTCTCCAGCCCCAAGACAACTCTTATAAAGGAAAAAGGCTGGCGTACAGTTTGAGAGGTTTAGTCCATCATCATAATGGTGGGAAGCATGGCAGTGTTCAGCTACACATGGTGCTGGAGAAGGAGTTTACATCTTTTGTTTGTTTGTTTTTGTGTTTTTGTTTTTTTGAGACAGGCTTTCTCTTTGTAGCCTTGACTCGGTTTGTAGGCCAGGATGGCCTTGAACTCAACAGGGAGTGCTCCCAGAGTGCTGTGGTTACAGGTGTGTGGCACGCCTGGCTGGAAGTTCTACATCTTGATGCACAGGCAGCAGCAGGAGACTTGTGTGCCACGCTTGAGCATAGAAGACCTCAAAGCCCACTGCCACAGTGACACACTTCCTCCAACAAGGCCACACCCACTCCCACAGGCTACACCTAATAGTGCCTCTCCCTATGGGACAACCATTCTAACACAAGAGTCTATGGTGTCATACCTGTTCAAACCACCATACCCAGCTTGGCTTTTTTTAGCTTATTTCAATTTATACTAAAAGCAAAATATACTGAAGCAATTACAGTGTTTTGTAAATAATAATACAGAAACTAGTGGTTTCTTCTGCTAAGTACTTCACCTTAATTCAGGACCAAAAAAATAATATAAATTTTCTTTTTAACATGTTTGGGATGAGAAGCAGATATAATTGTAGAGAAATAGTTACATAATTTAAGATCGGAGGCCTACTGTGATCCAAAGCCTCATCGTTTGCAGTTGATTTTTGTCTGCATTTTATGTGCAGCTTGGAAAGTGAAGACTGACTGCTTTTTCCCCTCTGTCTCTGTTGTAGGAAACGGGATTATGAAAGTTACTTGTGTTCCCTACTGTTCCCTGCAGAATGTAGAAGCGCTGCTTCCGCACTGAGGGCCTTCAACGTGGAGCTGGCTCAGGCTGGTATTAAAATTCCTTAAAATACTATGACAAGATGGCAGTAGGATGTGCCTGATACTGAACAGTAAAGAAATGGAGTAATTCATTTTGGGCCTACTTAAAGTTGTAACTATGGTTTCTTCTGCTAACTACTCAGCCTTAATTCAGCACCAAAACCAAAACTAGCTGGTTAACTTAATGTTTCTGGAAATGGTATTCTGGGTTTTTAAGTTTTTCTGAGTAGGGACTGGAGAGATGGCTCAGAGCACTGGCTGCTCTTCCCCAGATCCTGAGTTCAATTCCCAGCAACCACATGGTGGCTCACAAGCATCTGTAGTGAGATCTGTAGTGAGGTGCGGTGCCCTCTTCTGGCCTGCAGAAGAGGCGTACATACAGGAAGTATATGTAATATACTCATATAATATTATACATAATACACTTATTATATAATAAACATCTTAAAAAAAGGAAAAAAGTTTTTCTGAGTGAATTACAGATTTGCAGTTAGCACTGTCTGTTAATGGAGTAAACTAATGAGAATCTTACTACTTTCTCTAACAGTTGCAGACTTGGGGTGTATACGGAAAAAGCTGAAAACTTAATGTGCAGTGAGAATGGATGATATTTTGGTGGAGGACCTAGACTTTAGAGTGCAAGAGACTGTGGCAGACCCTGACTGCGTTTATCTCAGAATTACAGAGGGAGAACAGGCCCTTCTGTTTCCTGAGTGGACAGAGCACAGGCAGATACAGGGCAGATGTGAAGTGGCTGTGGAAATGGAGGAATTCTAGTGGAATGGTTGGTCTTAGGACAGCAGCAAAAAGGTCTGACACTGAAAATGAGGAAGAGGGAAATGAAGAGCGTGGGCACATGTACAGATACCACAACACATGTTATTAAACACACGAATGAGTCAAATGTATAAACAGACCGATGCCTCTGCTAATGCCAAGGGCCCTGCACCTCCTGGTAGCTTACCTTCCCATGGGAGCCTTGGCTGCCACCCCCTGTCACAGGGAGTCTGTCCTCCTCCTCAGCTAAACCTCCTCCTCCTGCCTGGAAAGTCTGGAAGCCACCAGCAACTCCCCAGGGACACTGAGGCAAGTGCCTCATACAGTTACTCTTGTTTGTTTGTTTTTAACAGGGCCTCACAATGTATCTCTGGCTGTCTTGGAACTCACTGTGTCGACCAGGCTGCCCTCTAACTCACAGATCCACATGCCATTGCCTCTCAAGTGCCAGAAATAAAGGCATGCACCATGCCAAGCTCTGTGCAATTACTTTTCTATCTTGGAGTATATTATCATTACTGATAGGAGAGTAGGAAAATAGTTTTGGTTTATCATTTTTAAAAAAGATTTATTTAGAATATCGTGTGTGAGCGTACATGCACGGATGTATGGACACTGCATGGGAGCCTGGTGCTCATGGAGGACAGAAAAGGCTGTTGGATATGCTGGAACTGGAGTTAGACAGCTGTGAGCTGCCACATGGCTGCTGGGAACCAAACACGTCTGCCAGAGCAGCAAGCGCTCGTAACTGCTGAGCCAGCCTTCCAGGCTTTGAGGGGAAAATGTATGGCTGATTATCCCCATGCAATTGAATTCAAAATCTTCCTGAACGTTGGGGTTTGGGCATGAGCTACCACACTTGGCTCATGAATTATGTTAATAAAAGATACTAATTCGTAGCATCAAAAGGAATGTGCATTCAGTCAGCTGTACGCTTTGTGTACACTACTCTGGAAAGTATAGTTATGTATCAACCACCATCGGAATTTCATAGGACAGCTGGTTAACTCAGAGGCCCCCTCATACTTGGTTTTCAGACAATAAGTTGTCTTCATTTGTTTCTTTTTTGAGGTTTCCATACATAGGCAGACAAGCACTCTACCACTGAGCTCTGTCTCCAGCCTAGACTTTTTAAACTCTGTTTGCAGGTTAAGGACTCGGTCTCAGAGAAAACAATTGGACTGATGCGAATGCAGTTCTGGAAGAAAGCTGTGGAAGAAATCTACTGCGACAGCCCGCCTCACCAGCCTGTGGCCATTGAGCTCTGGAAGGTAAAAAAAAAAAAAAAAAATTATATATATGTAAAAGGAACTTTTATTCCTTTTCTTCACCTGGGAAGCTTACTCCCTCTGTCTGAATCTAGGCCTAGTCCTGGAAGCGTCTAGGCTCCATACAGTCTAACCTAGCGCCAGGATATTTTCAGCCTCTGAGACTCACTGCCTAATCTTACCCTTTCTTGTTCTTACCGAGCTCCATGCTCTCTGGTTCAGCTCAGCTGTTCTGGCTCAAACTCCTTCCCAGCTGACTGATTCAATCTGGCTTTTCTCTCAGCCTCTGAATTGCTCCGCTTGGCCTCGAACTAACTCCAGCAATCTGCTCTAATCTTCTGGTTCCTTCTCATTCTCTGGCTTATTCTGTCTTCACCTGTGTTCTCTTTCTGCAACCTGTGTCTCTATTATTTTCCTGGTAAAAACTGCCTCCTCTCTCTCTGCATTGCCCCTTAAGTAGCTTCCCTTTCCTCTCTCCTCTCCTGAGCGTATCCTATTCTGTCAAATCTTTCTCTGATTTGTTACCTTTTCTGTCACTCAAGTTGACATCACTTTCGAATGTGGGTGCTTCCTTCTACAAACTATCTTTACCTTCATTGTTCGGGATTAATGGCATGTACCACCTCACCTGGACCTAAGTTTTTTTTTTGTTTGTTTTTTTTTTTGTTTTTTTTTAAATTTGATAATTGCTCTGGACCAGGCTGGCCTTGAACTCAGATCTGCTTGCCTCTGTCTCCTGGATTAAAGACATGTTTCCAGCTGGATCATACAGTCCTAGAAGGTTTTTGGATGTGATCTCTTGCCAGATGAACCATGTTCTGAATTAACATTCGTCTACATATATACACATACACACACTTACGTACACATGTGTGTATACTGCTTTTAATGTACAGGAGTTTTATTTGAGCCTACTCGTTGGTGGATGTAATTCAGGAGGTGGTGATGGTAATGGGATCTGCCCCGACTAGTCCTGGGTTCCTTAGTGTTCTGTTTTGTCAGGTGCATTAGTTACTTGCCTTGCTGAGGTGAAAGCAGCTTAAGCAAGGAGGGGGTTATTTTGGTTTACAGTTCCGGGGGGACAGTCCGTCACATGGGTTAGGTTGGCTTCATGAGCAGGGGATAGTTGGTCACACTGTACCCACTGTCAGGAAGCAGGGGCAATACATACTTGTGTTCAGCCGGCTCCCCATTTTAAGCCTTAGTTTCTTATAGGAGTGCAACCTGTGGAGTCAGCTCTGGCCTTCTGCGAGGTGGGGTCTGGGGATTGAACGCGGGTCTCCAGGCTTGATGGCAAGCACCTTTACCTGTTGAGCCATCTCACTGGCCTCACTTCCTTCTCTTCCTTCAGTCTGCCTCCGTAGCCCATGGAATGGTATTGCCCACATTTACTGTGGGTCGTTTCTCCTCAATTAACCTAGTCTAGATAACTGCTCGCTTACCGTGTGTGTGTGTGTGTGTGTGTGTGTGCGCGCGCGCGCGCGCGCGCGCGCCTGTTAGGAACTAGAGACTGACTTTGGGTACTTTCCTCTGTTGCTCTCCACCTTATTTTTTTAGTTCAGTCTCTCACTGAGTCTGGAAGTAACCATTTATCCTGTGGGTCCCCAGGATCTTCCTGTCCCTGCCCCCACCCCAGTACCCAGTGCTGGAGTTATTGATGTGCACCACCATGCCTGGCTCTGCGAGGGTGCCGGGGAGCCAAGCGCGGCCTCACACTGTCACAGCAAGTGTTGTACCCAGTCATCCATCTCCCGAGCTTCCCATTTATTTTTATGTACATTTGCTTTGGGGCATGCATATACGTCTGTGTGAAGAAGTCAGATCCACTGGAATTTGAGTTACAAACCAGAGTGGTGAGCTGCCATGCGGGTGCTGGGAATTGAACCAGGTCCTCTGGAAGAGCAGCCAGTGCTCGTAAGTGCTGAGCCGTGTCTCCAGTCCCCTCTGTATTCTTTGTGGGGGTGTTTGTGTGGTATGTGTACATACATGTGGCCAGAAGACAGCCTTGCGTATCATTCTGCAGGCACCAGCCAATTTGTTGTTATTGCGTGTTCTTTTGGGAGAGGATTTCTTACTAAACCTGGAGCCCACCAAGTAAGCTAACCTGGCTGGCCAGTGGGTTCGAGGGCTTAGCCTATCCTTGTCTTCTTGCCGCTGGGATTACAAGCATGTCCCACTGGTCCTAGGTTTTCCCATGGATACTGGGGGGCTCAGTGCTTGGTCCTTGCGCTTGGGTGGTAAGCACTTTGCTGCTGGAGCTATCTCACCATGCTCCTTGTTGCTTTTAAAATAGAAGTAAAGGTAACTTAGTTACATTTATTTATTATTCTTGTATGTGGGGGAAGGGGAAGGAGAGAGGGAGAGGCCATGTACGGGGATGTCACAGACCATCCATGGTGTCAGAAGACAAGTCAGTTCTCTTCCACAGACACGCTGTGCGTTGAACTCAGGTGGTCAGGCTGGCTCGGCAGGGCTGTTTACCTCTTAAGGCAACTTCCTGGCCTGTTTTTGTTTTGTTTTTTTAAGTGGAAAAGAGAAATTTTGCCTGTATATTATAAACCATTTATGCATTTTCTACACATCTGTTTGCAGGACGGAAACTGCAAGTTTGATGAAATGGTAGGAATGTTTCCGTTCTGTCTGCCCAACAGCTCTCTTTGCCAGTTCTAATCCAGACTGAGTGGAGGAAAGCATTAATCTTTTGTGCACGGAGATTTTCCCTCAACGTGTCTAGAGAATGTGTGTCACTGCCTTTTAAAAGAGCAGCACTGGGAGGCAGAGGCAGGAGGATTTCCAGGTTTGAGGCCAGCCTGGCCTACAGAGCAACTTCCAGGACAGCCAAGGCTACACAGAGAAGCCCTGTCTCGGAAAGAAAGGGGGTGGGAAGCAGCAGGTAAAGGCTTCCCAACAAAGCCCTGCAACCTGAGTTTAATCCTTGCAGCTCCTTCAGACCAGGCTGTGAGTGTTTCTGTGGGCAGTGTCTTGGTTGCTAATTGGTTTAACAGGCGAGCCCGGTATGGCCTGCACCATTTCTAGTTAAGTGGTCCTGGGCTGTGTAAGAAAGCCAGATGAGCAGAAGCCAGTGAGCAAGCCAACAGGCCTTACACCCCTGTACAAGCCTTATACCACTGCTTCAGGCTTCTGCTTCAGGCTTCTGCTGGTGTTACTGCCTTAGTGATGGACGCTGATCTGGAAGTGTAAGCCACTAGGCCTTTTCCATCCTGAGTTTCTTTCTGTCAGTATTTTATCATCACAGCAGCAGAAAGCAAAACAGAACAACCCTCAAGCTATATCCCCAGTCCTAATGAAACGTTTACAAGTGTCTCTCTCTTGTGTTTTCCACCTTTATTCCTCTTTGTCTCGCCTTTTCCCTTCCTCTTAATATGTTCATATATACACACACGTGTGTTTGGATGTATGTATATATATATATCCACACGACAATTTTTGTAACTCATTTGTTTTGTTACATCATGCCCGTAATCTAATGTTGGGGTTTCCTAAGAATGGGGATATTTCCCAGTCAAGTGTAGTGGTGTTTCCTCTAATTCCAATGCTTGGTAGGCAGAGGCAGGACTAGCAGTTACAACCTGCGCGACAAGACCCCATCTAAAAGAAAACATGTACTCTCCACCACTGCCAGGAAGATTAGAGACAAGGCTCTCCTGTCGCTACAACAGCGTGTCAGTTCAGAGAACTCGCTCTCTCATCCTACCCCATATCTCACCAGAGCCAGGATGGCCTAGAGCTTGTAGCAATCTTCCTGCTCCAGCATCTCATGTCCTGCAGTTACAGATGTGCCTCATCATACCGCCAAGTGACATAGGCTTTTTTTGGGTTTTGTGGTACACACACTAGGTAAGCACTCTACCAGTGGACTTAAAGCTCAGCCCCCGTCCACATTCTCTTAAGTGTAGTTAGGCCTAACTTGTTTTTTCCTCTCTGGAAATTCATTTTGGTGTGTCTAATATTTTCTCATTAGATATAGGTTATGGATTCTTGGCCAGAGTGCTTACTAGGATGTGTGTCATTCTCAAGGTGTTACTTCTAGAGGGACAGTGGTCCACCCCAGCCTTATCTGCTGCCTGCCTGTCTGTTTACCTACCTACCTACCTACCTATCCAGGCTCTCACTCTATAGCTCACACTCAACCTTACAATGATTCTTCTTCCTCAGATTCCCAAGTGCTAGATAACAAGTGTGTGGGACCAAGCCCTGCCGTTCCCAGGTCTTAGGTCCTCTTCATTTTGTGGGAAGTGGTTATGTTTGCTAATGAGACTCTACATGCTTGAGAGAAAGATTGAATAGAGTATGTAAGCACCAAAGTCAGGTGTGGCAGCAAGCAGCCCACTGTTGAGTTCTTGGTTTTATTTTAAAGTGGGATCCGTTGTGTAGAAGAGTTTAGAGGGAGGGAGGAAAGAAAGAAGTGGGTTTTTTAAAAATAAATATTATATACCTATGTGTAATATATATATTTATGGTGTTTTGTTTTTTTTTTCTATCTTGGAACTTGCTTTGTAGACCAGGCTGACCTTGAACTCAGACTATGCCTGCTTCTACCTCCCAAGTGCTGAGACTAAAGGCGTATGCCATCACCGCCCAGGTGTAATTATATTTTGATATCAAAACTAAGAAAAATAACCTAACATTCAAAAAAAGAAAAGAAAAAGGAGAGTCGTTAAGTGTGTACCAGTATAGTAGGAAGAAAGGCTGTGGGAAGTCTTTCAGAGTCACTTTACTTAGAAATGGCCTGACATGTTTTTCTGGGTAATTGCTTTTCTTTTTCCTCTTTTTTCTTTTCTTTCTTTTTGAGACAGGGTTTCTCTGTGTAGCCATGGCTGCCCTGGACTGGCTTTGTAGACCAGGCTGCACTGGAACTCACAATAAGATCCTCCTGCCTCTGCACCCCAAGTACTGGGATTACAGGTGTGGATGCTATTCTCTCTCCTGATGCCTTTTCAGCACAGCTGCCTACCTGATGAGTGTAACAATTGCTCCTTGCCTACTTTGCATTGCTTAGTATACTGTGTTCTGTCTAGAGAAGTAATTTCTAATACATTCTAAAGATTTACAATGGTCTTGTTTGTTTGTTTGTTTGTTTTTTAGGCTGTCAAGAGATATAACTTAACGAAAAGATGGCTTATGAGAATCATTGATGAAAGAGTAAGTTGGAGTTATCCAAGTCCTAAATTCTTTTCCCTTTTTAATGCTTAGGTTAATTATTCACAGACGAAAAGCTTTGTGCTTATTAATCTTTTAGAGGAAGGAAACTTAGAGAACAAGGTATTTTATCTGCAGCTCTTCCCTCCACGAGGACTGTCGCCCTGCTCTCTCCCTTCAGTCAGGTAGAAACCAGCACCTAGACAGAAGGACAGCACCCAGCAATTGTGCATGTGTGCTTGTGTGCTTGTGTGTGTGTGTGCATGTGCATTTCAGCGTCTATTATTACAGACATAGACACTCTTCATTAACTTCATTGACTTTTAAAAAAGAGTAAACCCTAGTCATGTCATTTGATCAGTAAATGTATATGTCTCTTGTTTGGTTTGTTTTGTTTTGTTTTTCAAGACAGGGTTTTTTTGTGTAGCCCTAGTTGTCTTAAAATTTACTCTGTAGACCAAGGACAGGCAAGGTGGGTGGCTCAGCATGTACTTGCTGCAGAGCCACATGACCTCCTTTGACTTCTTGGTCCCAAGAGATAGCAAGAGAGAACTGACTATTAAAGTTGTCCTCTGACCTGTACATGTCCACATGGAACAGCTACACCTTCTGTCATATGCAGACACACAAAATTAATCAATTAATTAATTCCAAAAAAAGTAAGAGCAAGCCAGGTGATGGTGGTACACAGCTTTAATCCCGGCACTCAGGAGGCAGAGGCAGGCAGATCTCCGTGAGTTCAAAGCCAGCCTGGTCTACAGAGTGAGTCTAGGACAGCCAGGGCCACATAGTGAGACCCTGTCTCAAAAAACAAAACAAAACAAAAAATAGATACAAACTGTATATTCATAGTCAATTGAGCGACAAGAGTATCTGGGCGGCTCAGTGGGAGAAGTATTGTTCTCAACAGAAGGGCTGGGGCCACGGTATGCCCCTGCAGAAGGGTTCTGGCTGAGCGTTGTGGGGCAGCTCTGTAAATCCAGCACTTGGCATGGCAGGGTGAGCCTTCAAGGCCATCCTTAGGCGCACTCACAGTGAGAGGGCAGCGTGGTTCCTGAGGCCTTGTCTCAAAAACGTTAGAACGAACTAACTAACTAGTCTGAGTCAGGACCCACCTCATACTGACTTATGAAGGTCAGCAGTATAGTCGATGGCCCACAGAAGACCCAAAAAACAACTCTTTGGAGAAAACGTTGATGCAAACTGTAATGGTTTCTTAAATCTGATATCAAAGATACATGTAAGAGAAAAGAGAGACATTCAAATGCATTAAAATTAGGCGATTCAAAAGGGTGAAAACCCGGAAGAATGGGAAGGGCACTGTCAGTTACTTGTCTGCTGAGCTCCTTAAATGTAAGTACATCAGGAGCCCCCCAGCTCAGCAGCAAAACCCGCCTAGTCATCTCCGCAGAGAAGACCACATGACCAGGAAGAACCTGAGACAGCGAAGCCAGTGCCTGTGAGGCTCATGCTCAGACTACTCGAGCTTGTTTTGTGAGGTGCTTGTCGGCACATCTGTATAAGACTTTGACGGGGGAGTTATTTTTGTTTTTTGAGACAGGGTCTCATGTAGTCCTTGCTGACCTGGCATTTATATGGATTTTAAAAAATTATGTAGAATGAAAAATATATTTAAATATTTTATCTGTATGAATATTCAGCGTATGCAGGTGTGCTGAGGAAGTCATAGGGCATTGACTCCCTGACATGCTGAGACAGAACCTGGGGCCTCTGCAAGAGCAGCAAGTTCTCTTGACCGCCAAGTCACCCTTCATTCCCGTGTCTAGCTATATGTATTTTAATTTATTTTCATTTAGGTGTGTGCACACACGCACACCGCGTGGACACACGTGCTGCTTGGAAGCCAGCAGAGGGTGTCAGATCCCTTGGAGCCACAGTTCCAGGCATCGTGAGGTGCCCGACATAGGGGCTGGGAATTAGCTCGAGTCCTCTTGAAGAGCAGTAAGCACTCTTAACCACTGAGCCTTTTCTCTAGCCTGTCTAGCTATATTTTAGTCTTTATTGTTCACTAAGCAAATCTCTTAAATGATGCTCTTATCTATTTTTTGGAGGGGTGGAAAGAGCACTTTTAGGGCTGGAGAGATGGCTCAGTGGTTAAGAGCACTGGCTGCTCCCCCAGAGGACTGGGGCTCATATCCCAGCACCCACATCGCAGCTCACACCTGTCTGTACCTTCAAATTCCAGGGCTCTGACCCCCTCACAAAGACAGACATGACATACAGGCAAAAACCAATGCACATAGAATGAAAATAAATTATATAAAAATAGCAGTTTTTATTATAAAATACTAATTCAGTGAACCTCATTTGCATTTTCCTTGACTTCAGGAAAAAAATCTGGATGACAAAGCCTATCGCAGTATCCAGGAACTTGAGAACTATGCTGAGAAGACGCAGAGTTCCCTTCTTTACCTGACGCTGGAGGTGCTGGGTGAGTTCTTTTCTGGTTATACCTTAGATTGCACTTTTAGTTTCCCTGCTGCCCATATAGCAACAAGTTCCCCCCTTTTGAGACAGGGTTTCACCGTGTGGCCTATGCTGGTCTCTAGCTAGAGGCAGTTCTTCTGCCTCAGCCTCCCTAAATGCTCTGTTTACAAGCATGTACTATCATGCCTAGCTGCAACTTTTTTTTTTTCTTTTTTTAGGTTTGTTTTTTTTTTGTTTGTTTGTTTGTTTTTCTTTTTTTTTTTTTAAGATTTAGTTATTTATTATTTATACTGTATTCTGCCTGCATTGTGCCTGTGCACCAGAAGAGGGCACCAGATCTCACTCTACATGGTTGTGAGCCATCACGTGGTTGCTGGGAATTGAACTCAGGACCTTTGAAAGAGCAGCCAGTGCTCTAACCTCTGAGCCATCTCTCCAGCCCCTCTAGCTGCAACTTTTATTTATTTATTTGTTTGTTTGTTTATTCATTTATTTTTTGAGACAGGGTCTCATGACATAACCCTGGCAAGCCTAGAACTCAGTATGTAGACCAGGCTGTTCTTGAACTCATTGAAATCCACCTGCCTCCACCTCCCAAGTGCTGGCATTGGAGGTGTGCACCACCAGGCAACTTTCATTTTCAGTAGGAAGAAAGCGAACCTCCGCTATTTGTGCATTTTTATTTCTTCCAGAGTGCAGACTCGTCCAAGTGCTCAGGCTCTCAGAGAAGCAGTAGTTGGCTCATGGGAGTGCTCTAGGTAATACGCTGATGGTGCCGTGGCTTTACCTTCTCCTGCAGCCGCCCCTTTAATTCTTCCCCGGGGGAGAGAAGAGAATAAGAGTGCACTTACAATTTTATGAGATTTTTCCTTTCTCCTCTTCTTTAAAAGTGTCGATAGGGTGCTTCCCTGTGGCCTTGCTCCAAGCCGATAGCATCGTACTGTAAGAAGGACAATAGTATCTCATTTAGAGAGGGTGGTCTGTCTTGATGTCACCCCTAGAACACAGTCCCTGTTGAGTGTCCCAGACCTGCCCTGCGTCCGAAATGTAAGGCGGCATGAAATTGCTTAGCGGGAAGATATGAAACACTTGTAGCACTTCCCGCGAAGGCTGATGATTACATTCTCAGTGTGCTCTTGGCGTGCTAAAGTCGGAGTTAACACGTGAGTTTTTCTGGACGCCTGCCAGCAGGAAGATCCCTGGCCCCGGTTCCCTCATAAATCCTATACTCTGATGTCAGACTGGATAACTGCTTTCCCTGGTTCAGATGAAGTCTTGTGCTGTTTCCCCTGACTTGTTTTCTTCAAGGACAATAGAGCATCCCTGTTTGGTTTCCGTAACTCTAGGCGTGAGGGACCTTCATGCAGACCATGCTGCAAGCCACATTGGGAAGGCGCAGGGCATCGTCACGTGCTTGAGAGCAACGCCCTATCACGGCGGCAGGAGAAAAGTGTTCCTGCCCATGGATGTCTGTGTGCAGGTGAGCTGCCTCCTGCTAATGCTGCTCCTGCCGGCTGCCACCTGAGTGCGGGAGAAAGCAGGGCGGCACAAAGAGGGACACCAAGTCTGGGCTTTGATCGAGGTGTCGTTTACTGAATGTCAGGTTAACACTTAACTAGCAGGAAAGTACAAGCAGTCTCTCACGGAGGAAGTTTTTACTTAGCCAAAACATATGAGGGCTCACTCAAGGTTTCACAGAACCTGCGGTCTGGTTACCTTGGCTGCATGGAGTTTTTCAGGGTCAGAGCCCTCTGCTGTAGAATTGCCAGGATCAGTCTCTGAGACAGCAAACTTTAGATTATAGCCAGGGCTAAGAGGCCGAATTCCACTGCTCAGATGCGCACTCGAATTTGCCATTAACTCCAGTTGGGCTGCCACACTCCAGGAGGGGAGTTGCTATTGTTTTGTTTTGTTTTGTTTTGTTTGTTCCATGGCTGTTTGAATACGCAGCTTTGCCTGATTAGTGAGATAGAACCTCACATATCAGACATGCAGGTGTCTGCATAGCCTGCACTTCCATAGTAACATCACCTGGGCCACTTTGTTATTTTACTTTATTGGTGGTAGCAGCTTTTTGTTGATTTGGTTTTAGGAAGGGCAAGGTCTCTGGTAGCTCAGGCTGAACTTGAACTCTTGAATCTCTGTGGAGTTGATGGAGACTTTGAACTTTTGATCTTCCTGACTCTACCTCTCAACTGCTAGATTTACAGGGATTGGCCATCTCACTCAGCTGGAATATGTCTTTTAAAAATGTTTATCAGAGGGCTGGAGAGATGGCTCAGAGGTTAAGAGCACTCACTGGCTGTTCTTCCAGAGGTCCTGAGTTCAATTCCTAGCAATCACATGGTGGCTCACAACCATCTATAATGAGATCTGGTGCCCTCTTCTGGCCTGCAGGCAGAATACTCTATGAATAATAAATAAATCTTAAAAAAAAAAAAAAAAGTTTATCAGAGCTGGGCAGTAGTGGTACGTGCCTTTAATTCCAGTACTTGGGAGGCAGAGGCAGGCAGGATCTCTGGGTGTGACGCCAGCCTGATCTACAGAGCAAGTTCCAGGACATCCAAGGCTGAAAAAACCTGTGTTGAAAAAACAAGAACAAAACAAAATAAGGGCGGGGGAGGGATCAGACATTTTGGGTTTTGAATGAGGTTCTTTGTTGTCTGCTGTTTTAAACTTTTAGGAAAGATTTCTATTGATGTTTGTGTGTGTGTGTGTGAATGTGTACATGTACATGGGTGCTTGTGAAGGTCAGAAGAGTCTCGGGTCCTCTGGAGCAGGAGTTTCTGAGACTGCAGATGTGGGTGCCGAGAATGGAACCTGGGTCCTCTGCAAGAGCAGCAAGTGCTCTTAAGTGTTGAGCCGTCTCCAGCCTCCTTTTAATCTTTTTGTATTTTGTTATGCTTTCCCCTGTACATCACACACACTTCGATAGCTGAGTTTTTTTCGAAAGAAACGGAACTAGTAGAGTGAACATGTATCCTAAAGGGGGTTTATTACCTCGGGTTGCATCATGGACACTGACTAGTCCAGCTGCCTGGAGAAGCTGAGCTCCCAGTCAGTTCCCATGGCTAGATGCTTCAGCAGTCCCCGCCTGGCACTGAAGGCCTGGGGGACTCCTGGAGAGCTGCAGGTCTTTAGTGCACATCTGAAGTCCAGAGAAGCTGGCCTCCAGTGCCCATGAAGCATGGCAGCACTCACCAGCAGCAGTGGCAGATGCACTCACCAGCAAGGAGCAAAGGTTGCAGGCAAACCAGCACTGCTTTTCATTCAGACATCTTTCTATCGGCCCATCTGGAAGAATATCTTTCCCCCATTAGTTAATCCTTCCAGAGAACACTCTCACAGACCCACCTACAGGCATGTCTCTCCGTTGCTTATATAGCCAGTTAGGTTGACAAGGAAGATTGATCTTTACATAGTTATACACACATGGTTTTAAAAGTAGCCTTTACCCTATATATGCTGTCTGTCTCTCTGTTTTCTTAAGCAGTATTGACTTTAAATGTGCTTATAGATTCCTATCACTATATTTTCCTCAGCATGGTGTTTCACAAGAGGACTTCCTACGGCGGAACCAAGATAAACGTGTGAGAGATGTAGTATATGACGTTGCCAGCCAGGCACACTTACACCTGAAGCATGTAAGTGGCCTCTGCCCAGTCCTTCAGGAAGGTGTCAGTACTAGGTGGAGCTGTTTCTGTGGCACACTATGGATTTATATATGCTATAGCATTACTGTGGCATACTATGGATTCTTGCCTTGGCAGTCTTTTGTTCCATTGTCATTGGGTTCCCCGGGTTTATCTCCAGGACTATTGAAAACATTTCCTACTCTAGAAAAACTCCTTTTCAGCTCAGCCAATAGATGCACCCTTTTGTGAGTGAAAAGCCTGAGTTTCCTCACTGGGCTCCTCCACTCACCCACAGAAGTGTCTGCCTTCCACCCTGCCCGCCTTCCCCCCTCCTAAAACCCCATCTGTAGCCAGCATTCTTCTTTATGTTCTGGCCTGTTGCTGCTGCCAGTTGGGTTTACAGCTGGGATTACAGCTGGCCCAGACTTGGTGGCTCCTGTCCTGTTGAATGAGTGCTCTGCTGTCATTGGGACCTCAGTGGGTGCGCATACAACCCCGGCCTTGTTCCTCCTGTTTAAATGTGTCCCAGCCACTCCAGTGGGATGATCACTGGGAAGGAATCTCTACCTTTCCAAAACTGACAGTCATTTTACTCTTGCTCTTATTCCTTTTTGATAACTTTTTTCACCTTGAAATTTACTTTATTTCCAGTTGACTCCCTGATGACTCCTAAACTAGAGTTCACCTGAATCCATTTTATTTCTTTAAGAGTTTCCTCCTCAGGAGGGGTTTGGTGGGAGGAGGAGAGATAAGAAAATAATGGGGAGGGATACTATGACCTAAGTACATCGTGTGTGAGAGAAAAATATGACAGAAAAAAATCAGGATAGGATGTGCCCAGTGAGGGTGTACTTAAGAGCATCGCAGAGAGAGACATGGACAGACAGCGCGCTATGGCACAGCATAGCGTACAGAACAGGAATTCAGTAGCGTGCCTGCGCTCAGTACACAGTTAGGTGCACGTCAGTTGAGTTCAGTTTGTGCAGTCAGTGCAGTTCAGTTGTGGGGTTAAGAGTTCATTTTTCCAAGTAGAGCAATACAGTCAGAAGCTAAGAGAAGCCAATTTGAATCAGTCAGCTTAGAGAGGAGTTTGAGCCAGAAAAGCTGAGTTGAACCAGCCAGCCAGAGTTCAGAAAGAACTGAAAAAGGTGAGCTTATTCAACAGGAAGTTGGAGGCTAAAAACAGTCTAGGTCTAGGTTTGGAAGCTAGAAGCTGAGGCCTTCAAGGTCCAGGTTTGCAGAAGATTAGATTATACAGAGGCAGAAGCTTCCAGGCCTAGACCTAGGGATATTTAGATAGAAATGCGCTGGGCTCAGTCCAAGCCATGTATTCCTAAAGCTTGTGTATGGCTTTCATCTCATCCTATCATCTGAGGAGGTAAAAACAACACTTACAAGATGGGCTACTGGAGAATGCAGGATTGTGACTTTGGAAGAATCCGAGTCACCATGTGAGAGGTTACTGTCAGAGTTCTAAGTCTAATGCTGTTGCACAAGGAGAGTGTGTCCCTAGATGAGAGTGAGGGACAGAGGTGCGAGGCCGTTCCTCAGCTAGGAGACAGGGCCAGCTGTTAGGAAGAAGGTAAAGGAAGATCAGGAGAACTGGGAAGTCCTCATCCTGAGAAGAGAGAAGAAAGGAGCATCAGCATTCCTGTGCTGCAGAGAGGCAGAGAGAAAGGAGACTATAGTGTAGAGAACCATGGATGGCCTCAGAGCAATCTGATAGCTGTTGGGTGTAGAACCGAAGTATGCAGTGAGAAGTGGAGGCAGGATGTGCTCTTCCTAATGTAAGAGACAATTATCATATGTAAGAGTGTAAAGGTCTAAAAAGATAGGTCTGGCAAATGCAGGACGATGGCATCAGCCTGAGTCGGCCAGGTGGTTCATAGACCGGAAGAGCCAGGGGTCAGGCTGAATTAGGGGTTAAATACAAAGGCATTTGCTTTCTAGGAAGAACAGCAGATGGCTGATCACTAGGGATTTTAACCCGGTGAAAGAGAAGTAGTGATGCAAAGGCAGGAAGGGATCAGTGTTGAACGGATTAAACATGGGCAGGAATGCCATCGGAGAGGGTTGCCTTGCATCCAAACAGGAGACTGGCTATGCTCGAAGTGTGGAGACTGTTAACCCAGGAGTCTGCCCTTGCCAGAGTTAGTGTGAGGTGAATACGGGAGTTGAGAGATGCCACGGCTAAGCCGAGTGGAGGGGCTTTTATATGACCGAGTTCTCTGCCAAGTCCATGAGGCTTTGAGGCTAGACTTCGGCAGCAGGGGATAAGCTGTTTTCTTGTTTTTGTGAGAAGCCCTTGTCATGCCGCTAAACAGCCGCCACTGTGTTGAGCTCACCCTCGTAGGGAGTGAGCTCAATTTCTGGAGCACTCCAACCAGTTTCTTCCCTTCTTCCTTTAAGGCCAGGTCCTTCTCCGGGAGCGTTCCTTCGAGAGCACTTCCTGCTTTTCTTCAGACGGTGAGTGCCTCAGCAGACAAGGCTGGGTGAGCCGAAGCAGAGAAAGACCATTTCTTATGTTTGGCAAGTCCCCGGGTACTTCTTTTGGCTGTTTCCCTGCGTCACAGTGGCTGGTTGGTCTGTGAGGGTCACACCTGTATTTCTGTGTTGTCAGTAGCACAGGCTCCGCAGCCAGGCTGCTTTGTGTTTACTCCCCTCTGTCCCTTTCCAGCCGTGGGGCCTCAATTTCTTTAACCCCTGTGTTTCTCAGTTAGACTCAGTAAAATGGAAGTAGAGAAGAAACTACCTTGTGGGAGTGTCTCCATGGTAACCTGATCAGGAGGTAGCACCAGCTCAGCTGGCTCCACTGGAATAACCTGGAAACCTTGTGGGAAAGGTAGCTTTCCGGGGCTCAGATTCCCCGCGGCAGGCCGGGGAGAAGGCTCAGCATCTGAAGGTGCTTCTTATGTAAGGCTGGTGGTCTGTGTTCAAACACTCCTCAGAGCTCTCAGATGTGGGGCCAGGGAGGTGCCGGATCTGGAGCTCATGGTGTAAGAGGACTGATTGCTCTGACCTACACACACACCACAGCACGCCTGTGCGAGAGCACTCATGATCACGTGCATCATAGCACACAATAGAAAATCGTCTAGAATGAAATAAAGATGAGGCCTGATTAATCCGTTTGACACCCACCCGGTTCTGTGCTGCAGAGCTCCAGTGGGCGCTGTGGATGTTGTTGAGAAGGGCCTGGGCCTCCTAGAATCATCCAGTGCAAAATTCAATGCCGTTTGGTGTTTGAGAGAGTGGCCATTAAGGGTGCAGGTAGCTCAGGTGGTAGAGTGCCTGACTAGCTAGGCCAGCCCTCTAAAACTGGGTCATGAGCTTCATGAACTGTGGTCCTGCACACCTGTGCGGACTGCCGCTGCTTGGGCGGTAGAGATAGGAGGATCAGGAGTTCAAGGCTATCCTTGGCTACGGAGTGCAAGGCCTGCCTGGGATACAGGAGGCTTTTTTTTTTTTTTAAGTTAGTGAAATTTTACAAATTAGCCCAAACAACAGACAACCAAAACGAAATAACACTAGGTAATTCCCATCTTGCCTTCATCCACGCATGATAGGTGATGGGTAGGGTGACTTTTATAGGACCGGTGATGATTCTTTTTGTTTGAAAATCTTGTTTTCTAGCAAGAACAGAGAGACCCATTATACTTCAAAAAAATAATTTTTTAAAAGGTCAACGTGCAGGGCTGGAGAGATGCTCAGTGGTTAAGAGTGTCTGCTGCTCTTGCAGAGGACCTGAGTTTAATTTTCAGCACCCATCAGCAACTCTCCCATCAGCCGTAAATCCAGCTCCAGGGGACCTGACGCCATTCTTGTAACTGCAGGTGCTGTTAAATAATCTTTAAAAGTTAATGAATATTCAACCTGAACTGTTTGAGTACCCTCCATGAATAAATAATTAAGTACATAACTAAGTAAATAAACCTTGAAAAATAAATAAGCTGGGAGCAATGGCGCACACCTGTAATCAATCCAGCACTCGGGGAGGCAGAGGCAGGTGGATCTCTATGAGTTTGAGGTCAGCCTGGTCTACAAATCGAGTCCAGGACAGACAGGGCTACACAGCCCTGTTTGTTTGTTTGTTTGCCTGTCTTGAAGCAAACAAAGTCAGGTTGAGCTTCATAACACACTGCATTTGGAGATGTTTCCTTCTCCTTGAACATTTTTTGTCTGTGACGGCAGGCATTGTAATCCCACTACTCCAGAGGCTGAGGGAAGATGAGTGTGTATTTGAGGCCAGCCTGGGGTGCCTGCTGATACGAATCGATAGCTGACTGTTACAAAAAAGAAAAACAATTACTTAATATTTGGTCTTTGGTTTCAAACTCAGGCTCTCACACATATGTTGGTCATTCCACTTCCAGCCCACTCCCAGCTGGACAGTCCTTTCCCTGTTCCTCAGAAGCCAGTAATAAGGCTGGATGGACAGCTCTCTAATGCTTCGGTCTACATTATGTGATCAAAAGAGGCCCAGTGTCCACAGCACTGGCTTTCCCGGGTTACCTTCTCACTAGTTGCACGCTTACTGCTCTAGCTGTTTCCAGGGAGATGCCTTCCTTTCTCTCTCAGCTGGGACTCCAGCTCCAATCTTCTTTCTAAAAATATATTTATTATTTATGTAGCATTCTGCCTGCACACCCGATCTTACTATAGATGGTTGGGAGCCACCATGTGGCTGCTGGGAATTGAACTCAGGATCTTTGGAAGAACAGCAAGTGTTCTTAACCTCTGAGCCGTTTCTCCAGCCCCCTCCAGCTCCAACCTTTAAAACATTTTCAACTTGGCCAGATATGGTGGTGTATAACTTCAGCCCCAGCACTCAGAGGCAGGAGGATCTCCATGAATTCAAGGCCAGCCTGGTCTACATAATGAGTTCTAGGCCAGCTGGGGCTACATAAAGGGACCTTGTCTGGAAAAAAAATATTTTTATTATGTAATACCACCCCAGGAAACTAAAAAAAAGCTTTAATACTTGTACTTTGTCTTTGAAGTAGGTCTTACTGTGTAGCCCAGACTGGCCTTGATTCCATTCTGCTGATGTCTCCTCACTGCCTGGATCACGGTGTGAGCTGTCCCATCCATCTTCTTTTCTGTTGTTTTGAGACAGGTTCTCCCTGAGGCCCAGGTTGGCCTCTGCCTCACCACATAGCACAGGGCAACCTCAAACTGACGGCAGTTCGCCTGCTCCGGGCTTCTGAGTGCTGCCATTGCAGGTGTGGCCACCATGCCAGGCCGCACTTTTTCTTTGGTTTGTTCAGGGAATTTGATCCGTTTACGATCTAGTGACCACTGTTCTCTTTTTCCAGGTTTCTCTAGAGAACTATTTAAAGAAAATCCAGCGAGTGGATTTTGATATATTTCATCCATCTTTACAGCAGAAGAATACATTACTTCCGTTATCTTTGTATATTCAATCATGGAGAAAAAAATACTAAAATGATTTTGTCTTACTGATACTGGTTTTACTTTTAGTTTATTGGTTTTTAAAAAAAAAAATGTGTGTTTTGCATACTAAAATCTGTACACCTAAAGAAGCTAAGCAAGTCAGAGGACCCTGGGTAAGATGATCAATCCTCACTCAGAAAGACAAAGGGGACGGACAACGGAAGAAGGAAAAAACGGGCAACAGAACAGGAGCCTGCCACAGAGGGCTTCTCAAAGACTCTACCCAGCAGTGTATCAACGCAGATACTGAGACTCATAACCAAACTTTGGGCAAAGTGCAGGGAATCTTAGAAAAGAAGGGGGAGATAGAAAGACCTGGAGGGGACAGGAGCTCCACAAGGAGAGCAACAGAACAAAAAAGTCTGGACACAGGAGTCTTTTCTGAGACTGATGCTCTAAACAAGGACCATGCATGGAGATAACCTAGAACCCCTGCACAGATGGAGCCTATGACAGCTCAGTATGCAAGTGGGTTCTTTAGTAATGGGAACAGGGATTGTCTCTGACATGAACTCAGTGGCTGGCTCTTTGATCACCTCCCCCAGAGGGAGGAGCAGCCTTGCCAGGCCGCAGGGGAGGACAATGCAGCCACTCCTGATGAGACCTGATAGGCTAGAGTCAGATGGAAGGGGAGGAGGACCTCCCCTATCCGTGGACTTGGGGAGGGGCATGGGAGGAGATGAGGAGGGAGAGTGCTACAGCTGGGATTCAATAATGAATAAACTAATTAATACAAAAAAAGCTTACTTAAAAATGTGTTTTGGGTTCTTACTTGGAAACAATATGGGCTAACATGCCTGGAGCTGACTGATTCTGCTAGAATGACTGGCCAGACAATTTCTTTCGATCTTCCAGTCTCTGCCCCCACCCCCAGCCTTGAGGTTACAGGTTACATAGCTGTCCCCAGCTTCTTATATGGTATTGGGAACCTGAACTCAGGCCTTCATGCTGTCTTCAAGCACCAGAGCTGGAGAAAAAAAAAAAAAAATGTATGTATTTGTGTGTGTGTGTGTGTGTGCATGTGTGCGTGCGCGCACACACCTTTGTTAGTTTATGTGCAAGTACCCACAGAGGCCAGAGGGTGTCGGGGCCCCAGGAACTGGAGTCACAGGTGATTGTGAGCTACCTGGTGTGGATGTGGGAAGCTCTGTGAGAACGAGTAGCCCCTGAGCCAGCTTCCCAGCCCCGAGAGCTGACTTTTCACTTAAGGAGAAACGGCGTTACTGTCAGGTTCGAGTAGCTCACAGAGCAGCAGCTTCAGTGGGACCCAGCGCCAGGACCCTGCTGACGCCCTCCATCCTGCCCTCCCAGATGGGGCCGCTGTGCCGCCACTGCGAAGCTGACGTCCCAGGAGGAGCCAGGTGGGAGAGGCAGTCACTTCCCCCCACCTCACCCCTAGGGACCCCAAAGGGAAAGGATTTAGGTTCAAACTGTAACCTGCCGGCAGCCAAGGCTCAGATGTTCCATGCAACTGCAGAATGCATTCTTAGGGCATGAACCATGAACTTCGAGTCTAAGCGGTTGCCGAGGGCCCTATAACCCTAATGCTAGTCTTTCTAACCATAAGTGTATCCATAGTGATGAAAAGAGACTGAGATTAAGATTAAGCAGCTGCTCATCGCATGCAGCAGGCGCCTTCCCTAACTTCACTTTTGCTTGGTCCAGAAGCTTGTACTTTTTTTTTTTTTTTTTTTTTTTTAATGTTTGTGTGTATGAGAATGTCAGATCTTGGAGTTACAGACAGTTGTGAGGTACCATGTGGTTGCTGGGATTTGAACCTGGGTCCTCTGGAAGAGCAGTCAGTGCCCTTAACCGTTGAGTCATCCTGAGCCCACGTGTCTTTACTTTGTTGTTAACCCCAGCTAACTCAAGCCGCAGCTTCAGTTACTCATGATACCGTGATCCTGAATACAATTGTATTGGCAAAATACGTATTAGTATAAATTATATACTATATACAGCATTTTATCAAGCAACCATCAAGAGGTTGGTTGTGCATTTTGCTTGTTTTTTGCTTTTTTGAGACAGGGTCTTACTCTGTAGCCTTGGCTTCCCTAGAACTTGCTTGGTAGACCAGGCTGGCCTTGAACTTCTAGACCATCTACCTTCCGAGTGCAGGGATTGAAGGTGTGTACTACCACACCCACGCTGAAATGTACATAAATTTTATTTATGAACCTATTTTGTTGTTTGTTTTTGGGTTTTGTTTTCTTTTTTTTGAGATAGTGTTGTTCTGTATAGCCTTGGCTATCCTGGAAGTTGCTCTGTAGACCAGGTTGGTCTCAAACTCAGAGATCCATTTACCTCTGCCTCCAGAGTTCCAGGATTCAAGTGGCTAAAATTTAAATTATAAAATATTTACTGATTGCATGGATTAAAAGTATTTACTCGGCTGTTACGTAGCAGCTGTGGAACACGAGTGAAACTTAGTTCTTCGGCCAGGTTTGTGGCAGGCCCTTTTTCCTGCTTTTCAGGGCTCTTTGCTGCTCCCTACCATTTCCATGATAGTCGGCAAGTGGCTCCAGCCTTTGTTTTAGCTATTAGTGTCTGCTGCAATTGTGTATCAGTAATGGGTTAAAATAACACATTTCTGCAAATAAAATCCAGACAAGAACAAGACTACACTCCTTGCCTCGCCCTAGCCTCCCCGATAGCTAGCGTGCCTTCTGACTGACAGCAAGCGGGAGCGATCGCGTGGGTGAGGGAATGTCCGCTGCTTGTGTCGGCAGATACTTGGTTGATCTGGTGCTGCAAGAACATTCTCTTAGCTCTCTCCAGGGAGTCTTCTAGCTAGTCCTCGGAAGGAACCTGGGTCGAAGAGTTCCTGAGTCTTTGTTAGCCTTGGGGCCAGTCTTCCAAGTTAAATTTGGCAGCGGTCAACTGGTAACCATCTTGGCTCCTGCCTAAGTCTCTTAAAAAGAGCTCAGTGCCTCAGCTAGATTACTGGGTCCTCAGTGCCTCAGCAAACACTTGAACATGTTCTAAGGCTTTTTTTTTTTTTTTTTCTTTTGAGACAGGGCTTCCCTGTGTTACAGCCCTTGGCTGTCCCTGAACTCATTTGTAGACCAGACTGGCCTCAAACTCACAGAGACCCACCTGCCTCTGCTGGGATCAAAGGTGTGTGCCACCACGCCCAGCCAGAACTAACTATGCCTGACCCTGTTTAGCTTCAGGCTCAGACAAGATTGTTGAGGTCAAGATGGTATGGCTGTAGAGGTTTTGGGGTTTTGTTTGCTTGTTTTTGTTTTTCAAAACAGGGTTTCTCTGTGTAGCCTTGGATGTCCTGGACTCATTTTGTAGACCAGGCTGGCCTCGAACTCAGAGAGCTGCCTGCCTCTGCCTCCCGAGTGCTGGGATTACAGGCGTAAACCACTGCTCCCAGCTGGTCATAGACTCTTAAGACACCTTTAATTTGATGTTTACAGATTTGATCAACTAAAGTCATCTCAAGGTTTAGAAGGAAGGAAGGACACCTGTAACCCTGCCTCTTAGGTGGAGGCAGGAGGAACAGGGACACCCTCTAGTGAGTTTGAAGCCGGCTGGCCTAGTAGAGACCCTGTCTCAAAAACCCAAGAGGTAGAATTAGAAAAGAACTTTTAAAGGAAAGTTTGTGAATAAAAATGCCCAAATCCTCTGGCCTAGTGAAACATTTTGAGTTAAGATCAGAGAATTGGGGTTTGTTTTGCCCGTTCCAGCAACTCTCCAGGTGCCCTTGGATTTGAGTTGTTTCAGGTGCTACAAATTTAATTTCTTTAAAGACTAGCCCAACTGACGACTGGACCAGGAAGAGCTACAGATTTGTAAACACTCTGCAGGCAGTTACCCATAGTAAAACAAAGCATTATGGTACCGTCTGTTTCCATAACAAGCCTGAGCAAGGAGCCACGCGGAGAATTGGAAATGGACCTGAGATGGGTCAGAACGAGGGCAGACCGGCCGTTTTACCTGCTTTTTATTGTGAAAATTACTGTATAATGCAAGTGATTTCTTAAAAACAACAACAACAAAAAAAAAAAAAACAGCAGCCACAGCACAGGCATGTATGTATACACATGTACCACACACATGCAGACAACGGGAAGAATCTTGGTAGTGGCCTCTTGGGACATGACACTTGGGTTGAGACTGGTGAAGATGACCTACCTGAAAGTATCTGTCCCAGTGGTGACAGCAGAGTGAAGCACACAGTATTCAAGAAACTAGATTGCTGGGTACAATCAGAAAGCAGGCTGAGAGGAAGGGAGGTGGGTAAAACAGGACACAGTAAGGCATTTGGCTTTTAAGACAGGCACTTGATTAGTACTTTGTTACAGCTTACATGTATTTTGTATGTGTACTCATGAGTATTGTTTACAGTGCTTTGGGTATAATGGTTCCTGAGATGAACAATGCCTTTTGACTCAGAGCTAGAATGTCCTCGTTATTTGATGAGCCGGTGGGCTGACTCTTGTGAGCGAATACTGTTTTCCTTTGGGTCACCTTTTTCTCATTAAATAGCCCTGCCTGGCTTTGCTGTGTTTTCTATTTTATTTTGAATCCTGATCGCTGTCCCGGCAGCTCAGTTATATAATAATGCACTGCGTATTTCAGCACAGGGCATGAATTTCTCAAGAACCAAACTCAAGAGCTTTATAAGCCTTGAAGTCCCTTTTATGGGTAGGTCAGGATTCTTTAGGAACTCCGTATTAATGATTCAGAAAGCAGTTTCAGTAGATTCTGTGTTTGCTTTTTGCTGTCCTTGTCTGTATTTCCAGTGCGCCGCATCTCTCTTGGAGGATGCCACTGTTTCGCTTCTAAACCACGTGTGTGGTTGGAAAGAGATTCGTGTGAATCCTGCTTTTTTTTAGGATATT